ATTTAGGGTTAGGGTTAGCGTTACATTTAGGGTTAGGGTTAGCGTTACATTTAGGGGTAGGTTTAGATTTAGGGTTAGGTTTAGGTTTAGTTTTACAGCGCGCTTCTGTCGCCGCGCTGTTGTTGGTGCGATTCAGCGCTCATTCGTCGGAGCGCTTTAAAACACACAGTTTTGTCACCGCGGTTTAGTCAGGCGCGGTTTTGTTGTTCGCCCTTTTGTCGGTGAACCCATCCAGCGACCTGTGGAGAGCGTCCTCTGGAAGACGTAAGAGATTGCTGGATGATGGTCATCAAACTGGCACTCCTACCTTAGTCTTGGATCATGCCATACTCGAAACCCAACTGGGCACGTCTCTGAAAGAGCCATCACAACCACCTGGATCCAGCCAGGTCTTGGCAGCGCATGCCAAGTTAGCCCTCTCATCAATGATTAGATTGCACACAAAGGAGGCTTTATTACAGACTGACATGGCATTTAAAAGCAGGAAACCAGGCCCCCCTGAAGTTCAGTTGATTGGGTACAAGAACCTGGGGAGGGTTTGAGAAACAATGGTGACCAAAGTCAGGGAACAATCAAGTTTTGGATTGTGCCACTCAGGTTTTGTGGAAACAAGTGGAAACCGTGTGCTAGTTATCCCAAAAGTTGGTCAGTGGCACCACACCATTCTGCTGCTTCTAATAATTGGGATGGCAAAAACACAAAAACATGATTTACCAAGTGAATTCATTCTTAGGATAAGCGCTGGCAGAATTCTTTCTTTCATTGTATAGGCCTTCCACTAGATGTCCCTAGTTATCTAGAAGGAATCACTTGGAAGGAAGGGCTGGCTGCTCTCTGCACCACAGAAGTTTTACTTTTCTTTTTCAAAAAACTGGTAATGGTAGAAAGGTGAATGTATTATTTGTATACTATCTGTCATTCTACAGTACTCCTCTTTACACAATTTAAAATTTAAGATGCATTAAAAATTAAAAGATACAAATCAGAGATCGTAAATAATGGAGGGAAAACTTTGGGACATGTTACTTGCCAAGGTGCATAGAAATTGTTTCAGGGCTATTATTCTAAGCCTAATCTCCACTGAGGAGGTCATGTCCAATCAATTAATATAAAGTTGTCCCTAATGCTAACTGTAAACCTTTTAGCTGGTCTTCTTGTCTTTGAAAAGGATGGAAAGAGAGCTCTGTGGCTATTTATGCAAACAGATCAGAGGGGTTGCCCCCGGTTCTGCCAAATTAGGCAGAAACGGTAGCGGTGGCGGTGGGAGGCTCCACCCACCCGCCCGGATGCTTTGCGCATGCGCATGAGCACGCGCACGAGCGAACCGGTAGTAAACCAGCTAGCAATCCACCACTGAAACAGATAGTAAGAATTGGGCCATGTCTTTTTTCTGTATTCTTGTTTTATACTTCTGTAGATTCCAGTTTTTAGCAGGGGAACATAGAAACCTAAACCCTGCCATGCTGGATTGTGCCAGGAGAACAAAAACATCACTGTAAAACAGACTCACCCCCTCCCTTCACTTATCTCAATTAACATAAAATAAAAAATCAGAGTATGTTTCTAATTTAGATAATTTCTTTTCCAACTTAAACTTCTAACTGCTGATGCTTGGTGATGTTTAAACTGTAGCATTAAGGTTTTATTTTATAATCTCATAGTTACCAGTCTAATTTTGGCTTTCCAGAAGTGATCTCTGTTGGCTCTGGAAATTCCCCCATAAAAAATGTATTTTGTAAAACGATTTAGCTTCAAGATGGATCTCTGCAGAGGTGGTATTCAGCCGGTTCAGACAGGTTCTGGTATACAGGTAGCGGAAATTTTGAGTAGTTCGGAGAACCGGCAAATACCACCTCTGACTGGCCCCGCCCTCCCGCCCCTGCCGTTCCCTGTCCTATATTCCCTTGTTTTTTAGCTC